CTCCAAAAATAATTATTGCACAATCCACTCTGAGGACTTCTGGATGGGTTCTTCTTTAGTGAAACGTTTCGTCTCTCCTCCAGGAGACTTCTTCAGTCTGATGAGTTTCAGGTGAACTCAGCCTTATAAGCACTGCCTCCACATGGACAAACAGGTTAGTCACATGCAAAAGAGGGCCATCGCCTAACAATAGGCTTGATTAGTTCTATTGTTCATAGTGGGTCATGTGCCCCATCAAGGGGACATTGAACCCCCGCTTGCATTCACTACATACACATAACCATGACACAGGTCAGGTGATGGGACACATGACCCTCTATGAACAAGAGAACTAATCAAGCCTATTGTTAGGCGATGGCCCTCTTTTGCATATGACTAACCTGTTTGTCCATGTGGAGGCAGTGCTTATAAGGCTGAGTTCACCTGAAACTCATCAGACTGAAGAAGTCTCCTGGAGGAGAGACGAAACGTTTCACTAAAGAAGAACCCATCCAGAAGTCCTCAAAATTGACTGTGCAATAATTATTTTTGGAGCGTTTTGATGGTTTATTTAAACAAAAATAGAGCTGCCATGATTACTGATGAGAAAAAACTGTCAGCATATAATTTTTATGGCATTAAAAAAAATCACTTGAAATAACAGTTTCCTCCATGCTGCTGTGAACGTCAGACAAGCTCCGATTCGCTCTGTTTGAGCCACAGTCTCAAAATTTCATGCTGGATAAAGCAGAGTACATTTAGACCCTTCACTATTCTGTTTAATAGTTGTTTTTTTAGCATCCTCATTTTTGATTAAATCTCATTTTAAAACAGCTTTTTTTAGTGTAAAAATCAAATCAAACATTTCCAGTTTGAATAGAAAGCATCGGTGTAGAACCAGAGCTCCTTTCTGGGATGCTCCCGGGGCTTCTGTATAACTTTCACAAACTTTTCATGACATCCAGCGTGTTCTTGCTGTGGATCATTATTTTGTTGAAATGTAAACCTTTGCACCAGCCGCAGATCCTCCTTACTCTGAAAAGGTCAGAACTGTACTATATATCTTTTTTTTTCTTCTGCGACTATAATTTCTTCTCCTCTCTTGCTGTTCCTGCTGCAGAAAACATCTCTGCAGAATATTGCTGTTGAAACCATGTTGAACTAATTTCACACAAGAAMACCGGAGATGTTCAGGGAACATTTTTCAGACGATTTGATCCAGCGCTGCACACACAAAGCGCATCACAGTGGGAGGTTTCCTGCTGGATATACTCTGTAACAGAGACACAGGGAACATGGAGAGGAGGGAACACTGTAGAGTGCGGGGTCATAATAAAGAGAGTTTGCTGTGGAAACTCCAGTTTTGTTAACAAAGTGTCAAGAATGGGGMACAAAACTTTTTGAGAACTGTTTTTTTTTTTTTGTTTTTGCCAAGTGATTCTGAATGCATCCAGAAGATTGAAGGGAGTGTRGAAAACAACATACAGGTCAGCTGATAAGAAAATCAAGTCTAATCAGAAACTTACCTATTTACAGAAATATCCATGAAGGAGTTTTTACATATTATTTTTCCCATCGGTATTCAGTTTACATAAGGG